TCCCGGCTCCGCACTCCCGGGGGGCCGCCAGCTGGTTCCAAGAAACATCCCCGACACACGCGACATGACATCACAGGCCACGTCCCGGCTGTTAGAAAATCCCGGCCAGGCCTAGGGTCTCCCTTTGGTCCCCGCCAGAAGGCTCAAATACCGGCCCAGCCCTACCCCCAAGAACCAGGGGTGACCACCACACGAACTCAACAGGCAGCATGTTAACGCAAACAAGGTATTACTGCTCCCCATGCAGCTAACCCTGTTCTAGTCCTGTCCTCAAGCAAGGAGTTCCAGCTGTTAGAAAATCCCGGCCAGGCCTAGGGTCTCCCTTTGGTCCCCGCCAGAAGGCTCAAATACCGGCCCAGCCCTACCCCCAAGAACCAGGGGTGACCACCACACGAACTCAACAGGCAGCATGTTAACGCAAACAAGGTATTACTGCTCCCCATGCAGCTAACCCTGTTCTAGTCCTGTCCTCAAGCAAGGAGTTCCAGAGGTTAAGTTCATGGTGGATAGGGCTATCGATGGCTATTAGCCAGGATGGGCAGGAATGGTGTCCGTAGCCAAACAGGTGCTAGGGGAGGGATCATTTGTTGATTCCTTGTTCTTGTCATTCCCCCAGCATTGGCCACTGTCAGCCAGGACCCTGGGCTAGGTGGGCCGTTGGCACCGTCTGCCTGAGCTAGGACTGGTCCCTGCTATGTATGTGCTCCCTGCACCTGGGGTACCACCTCAGCTGGCCTCTTTGTGGGGCACTTTGTCAGGGCTCACAAAGGTCCGTGTTCTGTAAAACCGGAGCCGGGGGGGGAGCCCTGGCCAGACAGAGGGCTGCCCCCACATGGAGAGAGGAGCTAGATGTGCCAGCTCTTCCCAGAGCACCGCTGAGCATGGGGAAAGGGAGACAGGTCTGTTTACTCGGGCAGGGTAGACAGAAGCCAGCCATGTCTTGGAGAGGCCCCACCGAGTGTAGGGCAGCGTCTGGGAGGAAACAGTGCACATCTGGCTGCAAGCACCAGCCCGCCAGGTGAGGCACAGGAGGGGAACCCCGTGCCGGGGGAGGCTGCTAGGCCTGTGGCAGGGGCCTGGCTGCAGCCAGCGCCATTCCCGTGGGCACTGCTGTGTCCGGCTGTGGAGTTACAGTTCTGTGGCCTGGCCCAGCCCCCCCTCCAGGCGGTTCCAGACAATAGGAGCGCTGCCTGTGCTGAGGACAGTGCATGGAGCCCCACTGCCCCAAGGGGGGAGCAGAGACATGCCTGCCCCGAGCCCCCAGCTGTGGAGTTTCCTGGAGCAGCAGGGCTGGAGCAGGCACAGACTGCCAGAGCACTATGCTGTGCCACGGGCCAGGGGATCACGGCACCACAGGCCATATGTTGCCCACCCCTGCGCTATAGGCTGGTGAAATGGTCCCTACCCTCAGCTAGACTTGCTGCGTTCAGGGCTCCAGACTTTTGCCTTCACATCAGCCATCCTTCTCCTAACCCAGCTCCGGGCTTCCTATGGCCTTCCCCTTCTTGCCAGCAGGCTGGCACTGCCCCGTCACCCCGCGCCTCTGGCCACACGCCCGGGCTGCAGCCCTGGGAGACACAAACCCTGCCGGGGCTAGGTTATTCTACGGGGGCAAGAGGATCCTAGTGCGAGCGGCAACTCTGCACCAGTGTCACAGCCCAGCCACGCCCCGAGGAGCCGTCCAGCCACCCCGCCCCCATTCTCCTTCGATGCTCAAGCCTTAAGGTCCTTAAAGCTTTGCTGCCGCCGCTTCTTAGGCAACCCTTTCAGGGGGCTCTTGGCTCAGTTCGCTCTCGGGACAGGGGAAAGCTTCTGGTGAAGCAGGGGCTGCCCGAGAGCACCCAGGCAGCTGGTGCAAACCCCTGCAGCTCAGGCGAGCAAGAGGAACCCCAATAGTCGGGCAACATCAGATCCAGAGGGGCAAGGGGGCAGAAGCAGAGATCACAGACCTGACCCTCCCCCAAGTCCGTCCAACTAAAGCACCTCTTTGGACAGAGCCAGCCCGGCTGGCAAACCCTGGGGGCCCTGGCCCACGGCTGCTGGGGAGCAGAGGGGCTCCCCCTTGGAGCAGCGCGCCTTGCGGGTCACGGGGCAGTCCGCCCTTTCCCCGATCCCGCTGCCATGTGGGTCCTGAGCGACTCGCCCACGGAGCAGGAGAGAAGTTGCCACCTTAAGGTGCATAAGCAGCTGATGCGGAACACGAGCTGCCTGGGTGGCAGAGGTAGAGATTCCACCCCCTGCACTCAGGTGACCCAGAATGATGCTAGAGGGGGCCCTGGTCATGGCTCCAACGGGGGCCGGAGCTCAGTCTGTCCAGCAGGGCGAGAGCAGCCCCAGGGCCTGAGCCCCCCCCCCAGGTTTTGTTCAGCTCGGCCCTAGGAAGAGGCCGCGCCTGCCGGGATCTGCCAGCCAGCAGAACGCACGGAAGCAAGCGGAGCGCGCCACAGCCCTCCGGCTGGTCCTGTGTCCAAGCCAGCCACGCTCAAGCTCCAGCCAGTGACTCGGGTCCATTTTATTGTGGAACTGCCTCAATCGGCCAGCCGGGCCCAGGCCCTTCTTGCCACTGTTACAGGCCGCAGGAATGGTCCCGGCCTGCTCTGGAGACTCCACGGCCCCCGGGCGCAGACCTCACCTCCAGCGTCTTCCTGCCACCACTAGCGCTGTTAGCGCCACAGCTGCAGTTTAAAACCAAAAAATAAATAAAAGCTCGAGAGGGAAGAGGCAGCTGGAGGTTGGCAGCGCTGCCGCGAGACCCGGAGCACGAGCCAGAGGCCACGTTGCTGCATTCCTGAACCTCAGAGCTGCCCCCATGGAGAAGCTGCAGGCACTGCCAGCCTATGGCCACCGGCACCCCATGCAGGCTCTGCAGTTCTCCCCACGCCCCAAGGCCGGGAGGGGCAAGGCTGCAGCGTGCAGCATGCGCAGAGCCCCTCACCCGCACAGGCCACATGCTGCTAGTCTCAGTTGACGGTTTTAAGCTTCTTGCTCAGCCCTCCCGGCTGGTTCCCGTCCTGTTCCCGTTTCTTGGAGGCTGGGGCCGAGTCGCAGGCCTTGTTTTCGCTGCCAGCCAGCTTCTGTGAAGCCACAAAGGCCTCGTTCAACAAGCGTAGCTCCCGCCTCTCCTTCCGCTCCTCCATTTCCACGATCTCCTCGGCAAACAGAGCCTTGAGGGGCTGGATGAGCTTCGGGATCGTGGCAAAGTCCTCAAAACGCACCTGGAAGGTGATGGAGCACAGTCACAGGGAGGGGCCAAGACAGAGAAACGGCATTTTACTGTGGGCCTGTTTCCCATTCTACCCTTTGGCTCGTCCATTCACACCGTCAGCTTTTTCCACCAGGGACTGTCACATCGCGCACCGGGGGGATCCAGGTTGCAACACAGGATGTACTGGGGCGGGGGGTTCCCCCCATTTCTCTCAGAATCCCGACAGGGAAAGCGCCATCCAACACAGGATGTACTGGGGCGGGGGGGAGTCCCCCCATTTCTCTCAGAATCCCGACAGGGAAAGCGCCATCCAACACAGGATGTACTGGGGCGGGGGGGAGTCCCCCCATTTCTCTCAGAATCCCGACAGGGAAAGCGCCATCCAACACAGGATGTACTGGGGCGGGGGGGAGTCCCCCCATTTCTCTCAGAATCCCGACAGGGAAAGCGCCATCCAACACAGGATGTACTGGGGCGGGGGGGAGTCCCCCCATTTCTCTCAGAATCCCGACAGGGAAAGCGCCATCCAACACAGGATGTACTGGGGCGGGGGGGAGTCCCCCCATTTCTCTCAGAATCCCGACAGGGAAAGCGCCATCCAACACAGGATGTACTGGGGCGGGGGGGAGTCCCCCCATTTCTCTCAGAATCCCGACAGGGAAAGCGCCATCCAACACAGGATGTACTGGGGCGGGGGGGAGTCCCCCCATTTCTCTCAGAATCCCGACAGGGAAAGCGCCATCCAACAAGATTTCTGAGCACATCCCAAAAGCATTTTAACAGGCACTAACCCTTTGGGGCACTGGCCTTTGTTCAACTCAAGCAAGTGCAACAAGTTTGCGTTCAGCAGCTTTTGCCATGTAAAGACAGCCCTCCGGGGGCACTTTGCAGAGGCCAGTGGCTCAGACAAGCAACCCGTGGGCAACCCAATGCACAAAGGCATGTTCTGGGAGCCCCGCTGCCCAGGTAGGTGCGGTAACTGCGATGCAAGTGCTGCGGTGGCAGCAGAAAGCCCTGGCAGGGTGGCCGGGCGAGCAGCACTTTGCTGGGTATTAGAGAAGGATGTTACCAATTTGTACCTATTAGTCCAGAAGGGCCCCGTTGCGGCTCTGCACCTTAAATTTGGTCAGAGCTGGGTGCGCAGGCAGCCTGGCTCCTTCTATGTTTAAAATGCAGAGCCGCAGCGGGGCAGGTCTGGGGCCCAGCCCAAGCAGGGACTGAGCAATCCCAAGTCACGCCAGGCACCGGACCACTGTGCCTGCCTCCCCTGCCCACCCCCACGCTGCAGAGACAGTGCTGGGGAGAACAGACTTTTAAGCTAGCTCCACCCCCTGCACCAGCTCCTACTTTCTCCCCCGCCCGCCCCACCGCCTTGGATAGTCACTTCCATCCCCAACTGGAGACCCAGGCTGTGGAGGGAACGCAGACCCCACATCTGCCTGCCGGTGAGTCTGCTGCTCCTGACAACGCCAGCTCGTGCCGGTGGCAGGGAAAAGCCCTCTCCTGGCCTCTGTGCCAGCAGGCCCAGGCAAGGCCGGCTCCTGGGCAAAGCTGCAGGCACAAACTCACCTGTGTTTGTAGCACTGCCACGAACGGACAACAGCTGCAAGCCAGCTGCTGGAGGAGAGCTGCCTCTGCATGCCTCCTGCAGGCACTCAGATTGTGATGGCTGAGCGAGCAGCCCCGAGCAGGAGCCCTGGACGCAGGGAAGAGCTGCTGGTTCCCCCCACGAGAAACCCACGATCCCGGGTTCAGCACCGGCCCCGCCCGGAGAACAGCGCCAGGCCCCCAACTCACCCTCATGTGGTCGAACGCGATGCCAACCCTGTCGGAGAAGTCGGCGCTGAAGAGCGGGATCTTGGCGTACCGCTGGCTGAAGTGATTGAGCATGATGAACTCGGCATT